TTTTTCCAAGATTGCCCTGGCATATGAGGAAACGATTCAAAAGCGAGTTGTGTGCATAGATGATCTAATCACGGTCCAGACTGAGGAGAGGCACGCTCGGAGCGGCAGGAGCACAGAGAAGCTGTAACTTGGCTGCTTTCAGCGCGGGCGGTCTGAACTGAGCTCGAAGTTTCTTGGTTGATCGGAGAAGGAATAATTTGGAGCCCGGCTGAAACGCACGGCGCTGTTGTGGATATTACGTCCACCTTATCTCCTGTGTATAAGAATGGCGAGAGATTACGCAGCGCGCTGCCCGGTGTATCCGATGAGAAACGCTTGGCTGGTGGCAGTAGCGGTCCTGCTTGCAGCTCAAGGTAAGTGTGAACGAGCCCAGCTGTGTTTCTTACAATGGAAGTCCCGTCAGTTCTTCGCCTCCTGTAGCCTCGTGTTCTCTGAGTGTAGCAACCCCCGGCACTTTTCCAGGAGGGCAGCCCGCGTTCCCGGAGTGCTGGATGTTTGACGGTGTCACGTCTCCGCGTCCTCTCTGGCTGCTGCTCAGAGCGCCGAGACCTATTGTAAAAGTTTATTGTCCGAGCTCTACATCAGATCTGTGTGTGCATATGTGTGTTTGTTGAGTTTCGGTAAGCCACGAAACGCGAGGTGTGGCTCTCTTGGTTTGCGGTGTTTGTCCTAATTCCTCGCCGCTTTCGTCGGCAGGTGACTGTTCAGGAAACCTAATCCTCCCTGAGCCGCTACAAACCCTTACAGCACGGCTGACCTGAAATCTGTGTTTACCTGTCGGGAAGCGTGGCCGTGAAATGGGGCGCAATCACAACTGCCGGTCCGTTTACTAACCATTAGAGTAATGGCAAAATTAGTCCTCGTCGTGTGGAGCAACAGGGTGTTGATGGGGAAACGCGTTCTCTGCGGGGGATGAGAATGGCCCGGCCCCTGCTCTTGAGGTGGCCCTTCAGGAATAAATACCTTGTCAAGAGGGCTGCATGAATATTGACTACACGAACTGTCTGAAAAATACACGAACTCCAGAATCATGGCAGAAGAAGCAGCGAACATGCAGTGCATACAAATTTAAGAAGATAAAATGACGTAAATGTTAATATTATGACATAAGGCACCCTGTAATCAATTAAGACACCAATACCAGCACATTTAGAGTAAAATATCTGAAAACATTAATTCAGTGCTTTTATTTTCTTAAATTAGACAGCTTAAACCCAAATAAAACACTCAGAGTTGAGTAAAGTGAGATAGGGGGTCATAAAACTTTAACTCCACTTTCTATATATCTACCTCTGTGCAGTGATACATGTAACTGTGGCCAATATTGACTGATGGTATCAGCAAGTATCAGCCGAATGGTGCTGTGAACTTACTGTTAAGTGACGTAAACACAATGCAAGACACTGTGCGAGTGTTTTATAAAACCTATAAGAAATAAGGATTTACAATGATTGTACGTGAAGTCCCGGATGCAGCACAGTGAGCCACAAAGAGCAGCTTGATTGATGGACTTCATCTTTAAACTAAAAAGCTTCCTGATCAGCACCTTTGACACTCAGCCAATAAACATGTGCCAAAAATAACAACACTGTGAAGTTGTTGAGTGGCGCAGAGACATAATGGGATTATTAAGGAAACGGTGACAACGTTTTCCATAAAATAAAAGCAGGTATAAATAAACCCGCTCATGAATAACAGAAACACTTTGCTGTCACTATAAAACGCACCTTTGATGGATAGAAATAACAGTAATCGCGTACGGGAAAGGTCACTAAAAGACAAGGTTATTGCTGCATTTATGAGGTTTTTTCATGATTCTGGTTCCCTGTGCTGGAAAGTCTTTACTCTGATTTGAGATGTTAAAACAACAGAGATTATTTGTTGTAGTTTATTGCTGTTTAGATGGCATATTGACATACCTGACTTGTTATCAGCACTGTTGCCCTTGAATGGCTTTTCTAACTAGTCAAAGTCAGTCTGCACACTGGAACTCTCAGTTATGTCCTTTTACCATGTTACAGATTAAACATTAGTAAAACAAACAATGCTATGTGTCACATGAATATGCACGGTTTCTCAAAAGTACCTTACATTCGACTAAATATTTACTTTAATGTGCACACTCAGCGACTCGTGTACTTTCTTGGGACTTTCCAAAGTCTTTACCGACTTCAGCGGCTGTTTGTGGGAGTTTTCACAGTTGCAAACCAGTTTTTCAGATTATTCAGACAAGAAGAACCACAAGAATTTACAAATATGCTGTAATCCCCAACAGAAACTACTTGTTTTTTCTCCCCCCCCCC